CACACACACGCGCGCACACGCACACACAGGCACAAACACCCACCCACAGACACGAACGTACATGCATTGCTCTACCATCAACCAAAGTCAGATGCACATAATCGATGAGGACACTCTTGTCTAGCTTGTTGTGCCCTTAATCTTTAAAATCTTACTGAACAAGAGCTTTTAAGGAAGAATAAAATCTGCTTCGACCCTACTGAAGTGCCAAATTAATTTTTTTTGGGACAGGAGTGCAATAAAAGATATCTATGAAGAGCACAACGTTGTTTGATTTCTTACCACTTTGGCAATATTTATTTTCGCAATGGAATTAGAATTATGCAAAGGTTCGCTCCCTTTGTTTGACCGAAAGGTAAACTGACTGAGCTAGGTGCCTCAAGCCGTGTGTGTGTGTGTGTATAAGTGTATATGTATATGTGTGTGTGTATTATTAGGCGGTGTACGGTCAGTGTAGTATGATAAGAATGTTGCCGTGTGTTTGCAGAGTGTGTGTTAGGGAGATAATAATCCCAGCGGTCAACAAGAGTGAAGGGCCAGAGCTGCACTGACCAACCCACCATCTGAGAGAGAAAGAGAGTGAGAGGGAAAGAGGGAGAGGAAGAGGGAGAGAGGGAGGTAGCCATGTGGTTAACACTTGCTCACTGAGAGGCGACTGGAGCCCGGCCAACCTCTTCACACACAGGCTGACCACACAAGAGCCTCTCTTTCTCCCTCTGCCTCCCATCCTTCCTTCATCTCTTGTTACCTAACATTTCCTTCCCTAGCTTCCTCAGCTAGCCCTCCCCCCGCACCTTCTTGCCTCTTTTGTCTCTTAAAACTTGCCCAAATTCCACCCTCCCATTTTCTCACCTATGTCTCTTCTCCTACCTCCTCCCACGACCCTAAACTGTCACTCTGTCCACCTCCCCCATCATGTCTGCTTTTGACGAACATCTATCCTTCTGTCCCTCCACCCCGGCTCTCCAAACACTTCCTCCCTGCTTTCCTTTTCTGTCTCTACTCCCTCTCTCCATCTCTCCGTCCCTCCCTCCCTCTCCGACTTACCCGTATAGGGATCCGTTCGGTCTCCGTCTCCTTCTGTGGGTTACGATACTTCTCATAAAATTCTCTCTTCTTTTTGCCCTCTTTATCGTCTTTGCGCTCCCTCTTCTCAGCGGGTTCGTCCGAGGGTTCGGTAGGTGAGGGCAGGGGAGAAGACCTGGCTGGCTTCTCTACCTCCAGATAGTTCTCGTTGGGGTTGAGCACCATCACACCGTAGCCGTCCTAAAACAGATAAGAAACAGAAGTATGTGTGTTAGAGCCACGGCATCAGAATCATCAACAATATAAATGTTTAGCATTTATGATATTTTATTTATTCATTGATTTCTATCTATATAACTATCTATGTCTTTGTAGTGTAATATGAGTGTATATATGTACTTAATAAAAAGTGCTTTACAATGCAAAATAAAACTAAACCAGGCTGAGAAGACCAAAAAAGGTAGAGAGTGTGACAGATGTGTGAGAGACATTTTATATTAAACAATCAACAAGGGAGAACAAGGTATTTTTTACTTTTGAATTATTTATTTATTAAGATTTATTTAGCTACTTTTTAAAATGCATAAAAACTTTATTGAATGTTGATTGTTGTTGTTGTTTTTACTTCAAACACGTCAAACACCACATGATAATCTATGCTACACTGAAGCTCCGAAACTGTCCTGCTCAGTCTAGGTCTGATAGTGGCTCTTGGTGTTTAAGAGAAGAGCTCAGTAGTGGATATGTATGTGCAAATAATACCGTAACGACACTTAGAAGCCACAGATTGTGAGATTACTGGGGGAAAGATGCAAATCCAGACCGAAAGAAACGGCAGAGAAAGAGACAGAGTAGAGAGTGTCACTGGAGGGACAAGTCTGAGATGTAACTGGGGGATTGGAATTCAGCGATGGTGGTTTCAGTTGGTGAGTAGCATTTAGTGACTCCAAAGGCCATGTGTCACTTAATATCAAACCCAATCGATCCCACCATCACTCAACAAAAGAGTTAGCTGCAACCACATATGCATCTGTGTATGTATTACAGATTAAAAGATAAGTTTTTTAAATGAAAATAATTTTAACATGACAATAATATTTGAAGTAATATTAATAATATTCAGTGCACTACTTCAAAATGCAAAAAAGAGTTAAAGAGGAAAAATGTAAGAGAAAAGAAACCCAAGAGGTTATAATAAGAAAAAGTGACAGGGAGAAATGTATTGTGGAGAAAAGGAAGTTTTCTTGTAGCCTTTAGTGACTTCTTCAACTTGGAAGCCATTTTAATTAACGGTGTTTATTGTCCCAAGCACTCTGAAACTAAAGCAGGAAATGGATGGATTCCTGTTTCACTTTGGTTGTGCTTTTCACACACAACCCCCGTTGTGAATACACATACACACCCCAAAACTTATGGGTATGTGCCTGTGCAAACACACACACACACACACACAAAAAAAAGACACACACTAAGGAGTACGAAAGACATCAGTGCTGACAAAAAGACCTTTAAGAGATGTGAGAGGGAGTTAAGAGAGGCATCCTCTGCAAATCGCCATCACACACACTGTCTTCTCAAGGTGGCACGTCTCCTCTTCCTTAATAAGTGTTACCACAATGTGCTTGTCTTCCGTTGACGCAGCATGTAAGTGTGTCCCTCCTGTGCCCATCGACATCAAACCTGCCACACACCCCTTCCCTTAGCACCTGCCGTGTGTTGACAACGCCAAAATGACACTTTCTCACTTATTCAGATTATAAAATTAGTCTGATTCTCACTCCTTTTCACATTCACACAAGGCCCCCCTCTGTAACGTAAAACTCAATAGAAAGATAATTAACTTAAGAAAACATTTTTTAAGTTAAGTAAGTAAAATTGGACATAATTACATTTAAAGTACGCGTACAATTTTTTTCTTTATTACATCAGCTTCTCAAACACCACTGAAAATTCGACAAATGTATTTTGAAATTCTAATTTCAGCTTTAAAGAATTTTCTGCTACATAATGGCATCTGCATGATGGTGAAATGAAGTTTTGTATTTTACTCCAAGGCACAGCACGTCTAATGGTAATTTAGCAAGTGATTTATGACTTAAAAAACTACATGTCCACATTATAGTTTGTATGCAAATTCTAGGTAGATGATGTTTCTCCAGACCTGGATTTTTAATAGTCTATGTGTGTGTGCGCGCGTGTGTGTGTAGGTGTGTGTGTAAAGCAGAAAAAGCGGAAGATGGAGAGGTTATGGATGAGGATCTATTAAGGAGACTTAATTCAGCCTTCAGACATCACAGAGACATTTGCACACAAATACAGAAGTTCAGGCACACAAGCACACATTCAGACAGATGAATCGCCTGATGAGAAAGAAAAAGGAATGGGTGAGGGAAGAAGAAAGCAGCGGAGACGGAGGGAGACAGAGAGGGCAGAACGATTGAGAAGTAGAAAGGGGAGATATAGACAGACAGTAAAATGATAAGAAAAAAAATAGATAGGGAAAGAAGGAGAGACAGAGAGGAGTAGTCTAACCAGATCCACACCAGCTTTGTGCCACTGCCCACTGGTGGCAGCCTGATAAAATAACTGACAAGACCAGTTGAGCCTATGGCAGCAACGTCATAAAACCAAGGAAACATTTAAAATCAATAAATAATGAAATTCAATATTTATAAATAAAATGTTTTAAAAACCATGAAAAAGCTTAACAATGACAAACTGAAAAGCACACTGCACTGTCAACAAATGTCCCACTGACAGAAGGACAGAATGACAAAACAAAAAAAACAAATAATAACAGGAAAGGCCTCTTGCATTTAACCGCCATCACATCACTGTGTGCATTTCTCCTTTCCCCTAATCCTGGCTCATGAGGCCAAGAGTTAACGCTTTAGCAACACTGGTCCTAATGTCTGATGCTAACCCTGAGTGGCCTACAACCATGTTCAGTCTTCAGTGCTCTTACACTAACCCTTACCGGTCAACAACCCTTCCTGGCCTTAAGCATACTATTGGTAACCTCAAGTGTCCCAGGTCTTAGCCTTTAGCGTCCTTATGCTAACCCTGAGGGGCCTATAGCCTATGGCCTTTCCTTTGGAGAGGCTAACACACCTAACCGAGCTAACAGCGCTAACCCTTTCAGCTGTCCAGTCACCCAGAAGGACATTGCTGTAAAGGCGACCAGTGTCGTCGGCGTACTTAGTCTGGAGGAGCAGGGCCGCGCTGAGTTCACCTCTATGTCGGAAACCATCATTTATTTGAACACAGAGGTCTGTGCTGGTGTCAGGACAACATTGCGCTCCTTGTCCAGACACTTCCTCCTCTTATTCTTCTCTCCATCAACCAAATATACAACAATGAGTCTGGTGCTGGTGGAGTGAGCACAACAAAGCGACTGGGAAAAATTTATAAAAATCATTTTAATCGAAACTGAAATAAGGCATTTTAATAAATACTATTCTTGTATTTTTTCTTCTGATGATCATTACTATATAAAATAAATATTTTTTTAGAGGGAAAAAATATGATATTCAAATTAAATAGCACAATGTCGATGCTTTCCCTAAATCCCACTGAACTAATTTCTCCCACAGAGCTAATGTTCATCATCATAGTCTTTGCGTTGGTTTGTGACAGCTAAATCTCTCCATACATCTCACCAGACACCCTTGGTCTTTGTGTTTCTAGCTAACTGTTAAGTCTCTCCCACATACACACACTGGATACACCTGCTAAATCTGATCTTTGTGTTGTGATGTGCTGTCAAAGTGTGAATCTTACACAAATGCACATTGCAAACCGTGAGTCACCCCGCTCTTTATACTACTAAATCTCTCTCTCACACATTGCTCACATTGGGTCACTTTGCCTTTGTCCTATACACACACACACCGTCTTAAATGAAACACACACACACGGTCCTCTAGCGTTGGGTCAGTCTTGTCTTTCTGCTGCAGTATGAAGGCTAAGTCTCTTCCCATGCCCTGTGGGTGCCCCTGTGCCACCACCACACTGAGTCCCTGCCCTGGGGCCAGCGGTCAAGAGGGTCGCCCCGACCCCTCAAAGGGGGGGCACCCCGACCCCCATCACCCCGCTACGGACCCTCCTTAGCGCTCCTTTGTCGGCCTGTCCCGCACCAGATAGCACAACAAAGGCTACCGCTGCTACGGAAACCAGGGCTTGTCTCATCATCGTGATGAAACCCTTCCTCCGTCATCGCCCCATCTCCCCAACTGCAGCTTTGTGAATTTCTTTAAAAACCCAAATGCTCTTTACTTTCTGAAACGTATTGAGAAAAAAAGAAATAGAAAAAAGACAACATATATGAAGCTGCAATATAACTATCATGGCATTATTTGTGATTTACTATTACAAAACTGGAGTCGCAGTGTGCTGTCTTAACAATATTGTCAATACTCTTTGATGACAATGATGTGCCCTCTTTACGGTCAAATTAGATGCCGCTTGTCCACTAGAACTTTGATGGTAACAGATCATTATTTTCCCTTCCTGTCGCATTATTTGAAAAGAAAGCGGACAGCGTGTGTGTCTGTGTGCGTCCCCATGTGAGTGAGTACACAAGTGCGAGGGAGAGTAAATAACATGTCCCTTTAAGACAGCAGCACCTCTATTTTTCCAGTGGCGTTGTAATGAAATGAAATGTGTCTAATGTGCGGGAGCAGGGAGTGAGGCGGCCGGAGTGAGAGGGTGTTTCATCTGTGCGTGTGGAGCTCAGCGAAGCTTTGATGTGAGAGCTCTCATGTAGTGAGCAGGGCTTTGGGCAGAGGGAAAAGGACAGCACTTGACAGGTACAAAGCATGGCTGATAGCGGTCACGGGTGCATGCAGTGAGGAAAGTGAATGGTATGGTTGCGTGAATTTTAGGTTTTATGTGTCGTTTGCTGAATAGGAGCATATAAATGCTCTTTTTCGTATTGCACTTGTATTTTAGAGCATTTATATATTCATGCGAGTGGATCTTACATTTCAAGAATTAACATACAGTCTATAGGTGTCCACTGAAATTGGATCTCGGACAGCTTACTATATTAGTTTTTCTATCGGAGGGCTGTTAGGATCAGGGCAAACGGCGCTCCCTTTTCTTTCGCTCCACTTCCTTGTTTCAGCAATACGCAGCTCCCGATTCGCTACTCAGGCTTGACTGACAAGGGGGAAAGGGTCACCCAGCATGGCATACCCAATAAGAGGAGGAGGAGGGGAGGGATGTCTGCAGGCTACAGT